GCCAAAGCCACCAGCCCCAATGGGTAGCAAAGCAATACATTCAAGACTAATGAGGGCTTTCTGAAAGGTATGACTGCAAATCCCCATTGTTAATAAAGACATTTGCCTGCCTTTTGAGGGGAACCTGTATACTTTTAAACAGTTTCTTTTTCTGAAACATAAACACTCCACCAATTCTGAATGGATGCTGCACAACAAATTGGTATATATTCTCTTCTCTCCACCTGGTGGAAAATAAATGCAAAGCACTAATTGCAGAAAATGTGCTGGTGTCAGTGTTCTGTGACTCTGTGCCATTTCTGAACAGAGCAATTATACACTACCTGACTGGCACATTATTATAATCACTTCCTGCAGATACAACATATGGCACTACTTTTATTTTCCATGACTTTGTTGTGAACTGAGTGTGAGGAGGAGCTTATCTCAACAACAACACTATGTAGCTCTTCACGGTTGCTCCTGGTCTCATTGACAAGCAGAATGTGGGAGTATCTGAGGCAATGTCCACATTTCAGCCTCTGCTCCCATATATTTTTTAATCCCTCCTTTTATTTTATTTTATTTTATTTTATTTTGGAAATTACTTTGAATGCAAACCACTAGACATTCCCACCCAGACAAGCTCCACTGACTAGAACAGGTGTTTCAGAAGAGCAAAAGGACTTTGACTGGGGATATTGCTTTAATTTATTACTTATGAGGGAGTGTTAGAGATTGCTTCTTCTGCTTCTTTTCTATTTCATTCAGTTTAGTACTTTTAGTCTCCCAGCTGTCTCCTGCATCTTAGCACTCTCCCTGCTTTGATAGCTTTTGAACTCATTCCTGTCTTAGTGCTCAGGTCTATCATTGCTTTTCTGGATTATTGCTAGTTGTGTGTCACAAAATCTTCTGGCTGCATCCTTCATCCAAACTTATCCAGGCAAGGGAATTGTGATGGACAGGGCTCATAATCAGAACTCAAGCTGGGGAACTCCTTAATACCAATAGGTAGTGCCACATTCATGTGCATATTAGTATTTAATTGGCTTACAGTTTCTATTCTGTAGTGTGGTTGCACTTACAATATCCACCTACCCCCTGCAATTCCAGCTTTTATATGTAAAATGGCAGCAAGGGAGGTTAGGTAGTCAGGAGCATAATGGAGCCTGATTTTGAATGAAAGACAAATTGCAGTGATACACCCTAGGATTTTGTTTTCATTTTTTAATTCTCTCATTTTGACTGAAACCAACCTAAATCAGTTTGCAGTAAGTTTGCCCATCACTGGCATGTTTGTTGGTTGGTTGTTTTCAAGGCATTCTTGGAGAATACACACAGAAAGTTCAAATTCATGTTGAGACTGGTTTGAACTTACAGAGTTTTACCTGGATGTGTGTGTCTGTGTGTGTCCATGTGCCTTCAAGTCATCTGTTCACTAATGGTGACCCCATTAATTTCATAGGATTTTCTAAGGCAGGGAATCTTCAGAGGTGGTTCTGTTAATTCCTTCCTCTGAAATAGAGCCTACGGCGCCTAGTATTTGTCGGTGCTCTGACTCTGTTTAGCTTTCGAAGATCAGACAGGATTTGGTGCGTGAATATTTATATCCAATTACTATCAAACAGAAAAATTAAGCCTATTTTCACCTCAGTCCAAAGAATGTGCTCTGTTTAGTTCTGTTTTCAACAGGATATGCCAGTTTTCATCGTATAAAGATCTGAGGAACAGTGGTTTCAAAGATGGATCTAGTACCTCCTATTGAAAGAAATGGGAGCCCAAGGACATTGTCACCATGCAAGGAGCTAATTTTCTAGAGTGCTTAATTCATCCAGAAATATGCCACTGAGAGATTCACAATTCTTTGTTCTTTATATTTGGTCCTTAGGTAGCCACATGTATAAATTGGGGTGAGAAATTTGAGGCCTTCCAGATGGCATAGGGAACTTTCAAAATAACAATTTGTAAAGTGCTCTGGGGGCCATTTTGTCCAAAAGACAGGATATAAATATTCCATATACATACATACATACACACATCCTATTATATCTCTCTCATAGGGGTGATGGAAAGTTGGGGTCTGGAGGGCCACACATAAGTTGTTGAATGTTTATGGTAGATTTGAATCTAAAATTAATAAACCTGTCCCTCTCTTTGATCTCTGCTCTCATCCTTGTGTACTTGCTCTTCCAATCTCACTAAATAACTGAATAGTAGAACTGATTCGAGCTGTGAAATCAATGAAACCTGAAAGTGTTAAACTTTGGTTGGTTATACCCATAAGATTTGCAATATATGGGATTAATTGGGCTGACAAGTATGTTCAGCTTGCTCTGCTCTCTCTCAGCACCGTATTGAAATGAATGCATAAATACTACTTGATCACAAATTCCACATTCAAGTGTCAAATACAAGGCATTCTAAAATGACATGTTCATAGAGTCTCACAACATGAAACAAAATGGGCAGTAAATATGGGAAATGAGTCAGACAAATAGCACAACAGAGTTCCATTGTAGCTATTTGTGTAATGCCACATGCAGTCAAGTGTTACAGTGTATGCCATTCTGAAAACTCTGTAGCAGATTAATGAATTCATTAAGGGCAATTGCACTCCCTAAACAATTTTAGGTTGTGTACCTCCTACAGACCTGCTTCAACTAAATACATATCTCTTCAAGCCATTAAATCCACAGAGGAAGGGATCAGAAGGAGGAATTGATAACCTGACTCTTAGCCATTCCTATTAACACTGTATCTGTTGGGAACCTCATTTCCAGCCTTGAATGTAACAAAACGGTGAGGTATAGTCTTGTGGGGAAGTATGTCAGGTTTAATGAATGCACCTAGAATGTTCATGAAATTTTATTTTATTTATTTATTGGATTTATACCCTGCTTTTCTCCAAAATTATGGCCCTCTGGATCAGGGGCTTGGAGAAGCAGTTCTTTTGACTTGGGTAACATAGCTCTGAGGCTAATGCAAACTACATGGACCACAGTGTATTTGAACACTGAAGGCCAGAATAATAGGGATCTAATTCTTCTTTAATTCTTCATTAATTTTCTAAGCAACAAGCAATTTTTATCAGTTTTTGTCCTGCTGTGAGAAAGGCTTCAAAAACCACACAGTTTTCAAGCCCCATTCACAACTTTGCAACATTTACATATTTTGTGCATAAAACAACATTTACTGTCCAGGAAACAGCACAGGAAAAAAAGCTACAAAAGTGCTGCTTTCTGTGCAGATCACCCACATGAGAATTTTGCACAGAAGAAGTCCCCAATTATGGAATTTTCTGTGAAGAAAACAGCTACTTTTGCACATAAATATTGCCTTCTGTGCACACACACACACACACACACACACACACACACACACACACACACAAAGCTGTTTTGTGAACACAAAATGTGGTTTTATGTACAAAACAACCATGTGCATTATTTGCACAGACTAAGGGCCTTTGCAGACTGCCAGAAATAGTCCAAGTAGAGTCCACTTTAACTTTCCTGACTCAGTGCTAGGGAATCATGGGAACTGTATTTATTGTGGCACC